CAATCGTTTATTACATAAACCGTCCCTAACTTGAGACTCTGTAAAAAGTACACCAGTGCAGTTAACTAACTCCAACCTGACGCATCCTGCATCAGTAGATCCGACCCTTTTCAGACAAACCACTCGACAAATCTAACACGCCTCTTTCGACCTGATTTACCGACCCTAAAGGTTACACGAGACATCCGACCGATTAGCGACTGACTCGCCGTTTTACGATTACACCGGATACAAGACCCGGATATGTTACATTTCACCAATTTTAATACCTAGAATCAGACCCATGGGTCTCTTGTATGGGTATGGGTCTGATAATTGGGAGGTTTATTCTATTTTCTTACTTTTCCTATATGTATACCCGATCAGCAAAATTTGTATAAAGGAATTGGTACATAGATAAGGTTCTCGCACATCTTTATCACCAATAACATGCCATTTTGAACAACACCACCATAGCATCTTTAGAGAAATTCAAAAATCTGATACTTTATTGCCCTTCTTTGTATTAAATTTTTGATAAGAATCGTGCAGAGCTATTGCATCTGTATTTATTAAGTCGAAAATTTAGATTTTACTATCGCTATATACTGTGTATATGTCGTGCCTGGAGTTGGCACCTGCCTGAAGTTGAACTGCCTGAAGTTGCAACTTCAGGCAGAAATGATCATCATTTGTTTACATTAGCAATTTTAAATATTGAATAATCAGATTAAAAAGTGATAATTTGTTCAGTGATTATAAAATTGCTTATGAGTTACTTATGAGTTGTTTGTGAGTTTTTATAACCCATTTACAAGCAGTAATCCGAAAAGGTTAGCTAGAATAACCCAAAACTAACCTGAGTCTGATAATTTTGGATTATTTGGGCTAAGCTGTTTGAGTATTAATTTGTTATCGCCTAATATCAGTAATCACAATGTTTCAACTGGAAATTTCCAATCATAAACTATCATCTCTAGAGAAATCTCTTGCAATCGCAATTTATAAATTGGTTTTAGATTGGTTTTTTGTCGAAATGAGTTGAAATAAGTCGAAATGAGTAAAAGGTAAACCAATATATTTAAATGTTTAAAGCTATAAAATTTAAAGCTAAAAAAAAAATGACGTTTAAACAAGATTTTATACCAAATTTTTTATTTTTTATTATATTTGTGTTTTTTTTTTATCTTCGTTATACAGTGCTTACAGATAATTTTTTTTGTATTTAGGCTATACACTCCAAATGTTCAAGAAAAAATGTAACGCCTATTTTTGTAGCGAAAACATCGACATATATGTCATAAGCCTTCTCTAAAATATCACTCATACAGCGATGCACTAAAAAATATCTTAAATGTCTGACCATATTACTTCTGTTTCCACTGCAATTATCATTATGTTCCATGGACCAGGTTAAGTACCATAGAAAAGTTTTCCAAATTCGATCACGAATACAATGGCTATCAGGAATAATATCGTTACTACCAACGAAAAACTCACAATTACCGTGAATTCTTTCTTGGATAAACGGATCAGTAATAGTGGAAAGATGTCCAAATAATTCATTGTATAATCTTTCGTCATTAGAATGAAAAGAGGTCTCCAAGATTTCCTTAGCAAAAGGTATAACCTGCTCCAAAAAAAGCTCATATAATCTTTGAAGGTCCTTTTTCCTAAAGTACCGAATCCAAAAATCGTCATCGTAAGATTCACCAATAAATATTCTTCTGTCAATCATGTCAGCATCGTAAGTATAATCGGGACTTAGATTAGCAATTTCCATCTTAAATTTTAAGAATTTTATTTATCAGACAAATTCTTGCACCAACGATTAAATATTTTTCTTTTCATCTTTATTTTACTTAAAAGGATAAATTTTTAATATTTCATATTACAAAGATTTTTTTATTGCAATTGTTAACTCATTTGGTTCTGCTTAGCTTCGTGTCGTGTCGTTAGTAATTGCTTAATAATAATAATATCAATTTAATAACGATAAATATATTGTACTTTAAATTCTCAACTTTTAAATAATTCAAATTTATTTGAAAATTTTTATACAAGGCATGCACAAATTTCTATAGTTTAAGGGGTTTTATTCGAAAAACCTTTTGCATCTGGGACGCGTAATTTCAATTTGATCTTTTACGCGTTATGACGTTCATGTGTAAGTTGTCCAAGACATTTTTATCCATATATGGCATAATTATTACGCGACATATAGTTACTTATCCGATATCCTACTATTATTGGACTTAAAAATTAATTTGAATTACTCAGCAGTTGTTTTATATTGAAATAATATAGAGCTATTAGATGTGAAGCATCCAATAATTCTAAAATATCAATATTTCAATTTCTTTTTATTTTTTATACAATAATGTCCTTTTGATATTTAATTATATTATATAATTCTTCAAGTTAGTTAATAAAAGGTTTAAAGAATTTGCCACACAAGAATTCCTTTATACGTTATAAAGCCAATCATTGGGAGATTAACAAGTATGCCAGGTAAGTGTTGACTATTCGTGATTTTTATAGTTCATATTATAATTTATGTAGTGTACAATTGAAAAGCCCCCATTTGATTATAACGAATGTGTTCGAAATTCTGAGAAACTATAATAATTACTACAGAAATTTTTGTTCGCAGTCTTGACATTTCACACACATTGTAGTGTCATAAAAATTTGTCTTGCGAGTATTGCTTTATGAATTAGAATATTTTTTTGATATTTTCAATATCAATGTATTGATTTAATTAGATACTTGTTAGATCACATTTAAATTAATAATTGTTATGTTACCAATCAAAGAAGTAATTTTACTTTTCATTTTAAATTTGAAGTGTACGCTATATATGCTTTTTAGAGATTAGGGATAAACCTAAAGAAAGACATGCATCATAATTTTATTGATATACTGTATAATTAGAGAACTTTCTTTATTTCTTATTAATTATTTGCTTCTCTGATTATACATGTTAAAATTGCAATCCAACATGCATATCTACCCGCTATTCTACTACTCTGTGAAGTGAATAGGCGCGTAGCACGTGCTAAACAGTGTATTATAATTACCGGAGCTAGTGATGTGATCCGTTATCCGTTGAATACTATATTTAATAGTAAAATCCGCGGATATCCGTTGAATACTATATGAAAACGGATTACGGATCACATCACTAACCGGAGCTGGTATATCTTGTAGTGGAGGAATACCCGTAAGTAATCTATGATTCAATTTTTTCTGCATTTTTCGTCGATTAATTATTTTTTTATATTTCGCAGTCTTTTTTGTATGTGATCTTAATATTGATCACTTTGCTAAGTCGGGATATATAGGACATGCATTTTATTTGTCCATTTTTTTTGTCTGTTGTCATATATTATTAGTGTCTGAATTATTTTATTCGAAAATTGATGTGGATGATTGAACATTTATTTTAAATCCGTCTCTTAAAATCATTTCTTTGTTCCGCATTGATGTTATTGGGACTCATTATAAGTCAGCCAGGAAGTGTTACTGAATCTGTAATAAACTAGAATAAATAATTCTGGAATCTGTTAATTTTTATACTTTTAATTCTTTGCATAATGATAAGACTTACATACTGCGGTTGTGAAATTTATCATGTGCTATAGTCACCCTAAAATTTGGATCTTGTAATTGGTTAATCATATCGAATTGGTGATTGGTCAAATTATAAATTACGCTTATTGGTTTATGAACAGAATGACGTAGTTCGTGTTTAGAGTGACTAGAGAAGCATTTTAATAATTCAAGCTCAAAATTGTTTATAACTGATAATTTAGTTGGAAAAATGCTATTATTTAACATTGTTTCATATAATATTACAGTCGACTCTCTATAAGTGCACATTTAATATTGAATATGCCTTATCAGTCAGGATAAAACAAAACGTTTGATTGATAATAGAGTTCGTTGTATTCGTTTAATGTTAACGTTAACATAACCTTCCATTTTTTAAATGATTATAAAAATATCTCTAAGAAAAATAATGAGAACAAATGTCATTAATCCTATTTGATTAGTAAGCTCCGCTATTTTACATTTAATTATATAAATCTATTATATATGATAACCAAAGCTTGATAGTTTATTTTTTAATATTTATAGATGATCTGGGAGTATTTTATGTTGGAATTAGATAATCAAATTCGGATTTTCCACCATTAGATTGCTCTTCTCCATCCTCAATAATTGACTTTAATTCAATAGACTTAATTATCATGAGATTGTCCAGTAACAATTTACGATATACTAATAAGACTTTGACTAAGTTAATTACTAACTCAGTTGATGATGAATTTTTTGAAATGGTAATTCAACTAGAGCAAGTCTTCGTAATCTAAATAATGGTGCATATTTCCTGTCAAATATTAATAACTCTAAAAAAGTACCTTACATACAATACAGAAGATATTTATTATTAATTGGAATGTGGCAGTTAATGCTGAATAATTAAAAGTACCTGAGCTCTGAAGAAGAAAAATGTTTAATTTTTGAAAATCAGAG